AATGTGGTGGACCGCGTTCTCTGAAATATTTCAAAAACGAGTCGGACCAACGCGTTGGTGGTCGTCCCAGAGGCCGTTTTGCGTTCCTTGGGAGCCATTCTGTGATGCGGAGACTCCATCTGTCATCATTGCGGCGGAGCAAGTGACCAGCCCAGCGGTGTTTGCACTGCGCCATATACTGCAGCGGATCTTTCAATCTCGACCGCTCCCTTAGGTCTGTACTTCGTAGACCTTGTTGCCATTGCTGGCGGCGGCCGACCTTCAAAAGACATCTCTCCAGTGCACGATGCGTAGTTTGCATTGCCTTGGTGATTGTCCTGTTTTCAGGCCAGGTTTCGGTCGCGTAACACATCGCTGGTAGCACCGTGGCGTCGAATATCGAGGCTCTTAGGTTAGGGTCCTTAATTTGCTCCGTTACTTCACGAATCGTTCCAAAAGCTGCCCATGCTGCACGCCTCCTGCGGCTTATTTCAGCAGAGATGTTGTTCAGCATGTTTAGCTCTCTTCCCAGATACACGTAGGAATCCACTCTTTCGAGAGCAACTCCTGCCAATTTCACGGTTCCCGCATCACACCAGTGGTTCACCATCATTTTCGTTTTGGACATATTCATTTCCAAGCCAATCTTCTGACCAATCATGTCGAGCTCGTTTACCATCTCTTCCATTTCGACTGTGTTATCGGATATCAGAACGATATCATCTGCAAAACGGAGGTTGCTTATCCTTTTCCCGTCAATCAAGTATCCTTTGTCATCCCAGTTGAGGTTTGACATCGCATACTGTAGTGCTGCCGTGAATAACTTCGGGGATATCGTGTCCCCCTGCCGTACCCCTTTCTCAATGGGTACTTTTACCTTGCGCTCGAACAGTTGCAATGTTGTTGATGTGTTCGATAAACTCTGTTCGAGCAGGCGAATGTAGGCTGAAGGTACTCCGGCTCGTCACCCGCGACGTCGGAAGGGCGTTGAGAACAGCATTAACCTCCACTGAGTCGAAGGCCTTTTTGTAGTCCACAAAGACGAGGACAAGTGGAAGATGGTACTCGCGGCTCCTCTCTATGAGCTGTGTTACTGCCTGTATGTTGTCCATACAGGAGAAATTCTTGCGGAAGCCGGCCTGCTCTGGTGGTTGATAGTCGTCTAAGATGCGTTCCATACGGTTGAGTAGTATTTTCGTGAACGACTTATATATCGTCGAGAGCAGACTGATAGGTCGGTAGTTGGCAATCTCCTCTTTCTGACCTTTTTTAAACAGAAGAACTGTTCTCGCCGAATCTGCTCACTGTTCTGGAATCATTCCTAATTGCAGGTAATGACTGAAGTGCTCTGCGAGGAGTGTGTGAAGGGACTTTCCTCCTGCACGAAGAAGATCGGCAGATATGCCATCGGGTCCAGGAGCAGTTCCTTTCTTCATTTTGCAACTTCCGCTTCCAGAATAGGGATCTTCAGCAGGCGGTGCAGAGCATCTAGGGACGTTTGTGGAAGAGCGGAAGAGATTCGTGTAGAAACCACTAACGATTTCCTCGATAGATCTCCTAGATGTTTGTAATCTTCCATTCTTGTCCATAAGAGCTGAAATGACATTTCTTTGATCGTTCAGATCTCGTTTGCAGCGTTTGATGCTCGATCTTGTTTCTGCCGCCTTCAGCAGTCTAGTTCTTCTGTAAGCTCGGAGTGATTCTCTGACGGCAAACCGGCATGCCTTGTTGATGGTGACTTTTTCCAAGTGCGTGGCATTAGGGTCCATTTTCATTGCCCTCCTTTTTTCCAACAAAGTGGTTGCGACATCATTGAGCCTTGGGCTAGAATCTGATTGCGCAAGTCGCGAAAGCTCTGCGCACTTAGACAGACCTTCGACAGATGTTTTGTAATCTTCTGATGGGTCGTCCAGCAAATGCCAGCTATGAGCCTCAATGCAAGCTTGCTCAGTGTTGTAGGAGGTGATTCCTCGAAGGTAAGGGCCTATGCCTGTCGCGCTTGAATAATTTCTTCTTGAGACATACTTTGGCACGTATCAAACGGTGGTCTGAGCCAGTATCGAATGACGGCAGCACTGATACGTCGAATAGGCTCCAGCGACGATTGGTTAGGATGTGATCGATTTCCTTGCGCGTTTCTCCATTTGGACTTTCCCAGGTCCATCGCCGTCCAGTCGGCTTCTCGAACATAGAGTTTCCGTGATAAAGGCGACATGCAGACAGCAAGTCAAGCAGCCTTTCTCCGTTCTCGTTTCGACTGTTCGTTCCATGGGGGCCGAGTCGCCAAATCGCGGCTGTTGTGGTTCGTGTGCCTATAAGGGCATTGAAGTCACCAACCACATACTTGTAGTAAGTTCTCTCATTCTGAATCGTATCTTCCAGAAGCTGGTAAAATTCTTCGCGTTCTTCGTCAGTGGCGGTGGAGGTGGGTGCATATCCATTGATAATGGATATGGCTCCTTGATCTTTGGTCAGCAAGCGTAGAACAGCGATGCGTGGACTGATGATTTTGTGAGAGTCTACTAGATGGACCACTGCCTGGTTTATGAGAAATCCAACTCCGCCGACATTCTTGCCATCCACCTTGGCTCCAACAATAAGCAGCTCGTTGTGATCGGTTTTCCTCCTAATGGTTTCCGTTCTGCCCTTCGTTTCTTGTATAGCGATAACATCGTACTTGATCTGACGACTCCTCAGCAGAAGTGTTCGGAGATCAGCATCCGATGCAATAGTCCGACAATTATACGAGCAGACGAAAGAGGCAGTCCTTGTGTCGTTGGGTGGGGGAGTTTCCGGGTTTCCGATTAATCTGATGACGTCCTGATTCCCTGACGAGATTAGATGGCCCCTCATCGGTAGAGGCAACTCCCGACGTCGTAGAAGAGCATATCCGATGTACGCAGGACTGGGGCGCTATTGAAGCTGTTTGAGCAGAAGAAGTGGCTTAGGTTACTCCCTTGTTCCTTGCTAGGGATACAAGAAAGCCGCCCATACACACATTACTGTGCGTACTGCGTAGCCGTTTGTACCGTTGGCCACCATTAGTGGTGTACACCCTATCACCGCGGTGAGGTGGTACATGATAGGGATGGTCATCTACAGTCCGAAAAAGTAAAAAAAATTTTTTTAGCTGAAAATTCTTTTTATGGTTCGGCGGTCCTGATCACGATTCTGACACTTATTTTTGGCGTCAATGTCATCTGGCGCCAGCATAGCGCCGAACAGCTGAGTCTGTGAATACAATCGAATTCGAAGGGAAAACCGGTTTTGCTCCATAAATAAAGGATTATCGAGTTTTTCGTTAATGTTTTTGAAAGCGCAAAGTATCTAGGCAAACATGCATCCAAAAAAATTGTAGGAAAGCAAAATTTTGTTCCCGTGGGAATCCGAACCATCGACGTTTTTTTCACGTTTTTTGTTTTTTTTCAAAGCTCAGGGGCGCACGGCGAATATGAACCTCGGTTTTCTGCTCCTCACATGTGTCTCTACAACGCGCAAGAAACCGTTCTCAAAAACCGCACCATGCCCTGAACACCTCCCTTGTCAGACCTGTCGTTGTTGTTTCACCCCTCTTCTACATCTACGGTACGTTATCACCGGGTTAATAACAACAAGAGAATCGCATTTGACCTATGGGCCGGGAGTCGTAGGCGGGCGCTGGGTTCAATCATTGCTTCAAAATGAACAATTGGAATTGAATCAAAAGTTCCCTTCACCACTAAAAACCTCAGCCAGTCACTGCATAAAAGTTGCACCTTCCCACCACACCAGCGCTGGAGTCCAATGCAAATAGCTTCATACAGACATCAGTCAGCGCACAATGGATTGTTTCCTGTACAGTGTGATGAGAAAATAGCTTAAGGATTCATTAATGGAGAACATTTCGTACTAGGCTTGCGAGAAAATGAGTTGCATCTTGAAAAGCGGGAGTCTACATTCCATTGCTGGTTCGGTTTCAGTAGCGATCCCCGAAAGAAATCATGGTTGTTGAAAGAATGAAGTCTCGTGTGTGAACTCAATTTCCGCAATGACATCACGCCAAAGATATTTCTCGAAGAAGATATTATTTGAACATTTGAACTATATACAGCACTTTGAAGAAAAATAAACCCGTACTCTGCCATATTGCTTTTCATTTTCCGTTCAAAAAATAGTGTTTTCGCCTGTTTTTTTCACCGAATTCACAGCATACCCGCTCCAAAGCAACGGCATTTGCGCGGCAGTCAAATGCAAGTACAAACTAGGCGATCGAAACATCAGATTCTCCTTCCTCCCGGTATTGCTCCAGATACGGTCCAGAGCACGCATGAGATGGGAACAAGTGGGATGAGGGTAGCAAGGAATTGGCAGACTAATTGGAGGAGACACACCCGTAATGGGCGGGACGTACTTGAGATGGGCGGTGAAATTCAATAACTCCGTTCTCGAGATAGTTTAGAGATCGATGGAAAAAGGAAACATCTGGCGAAAGACGGGCATGCCTGTGCTGAGGCCCGCCCATAAATGGCGGAGCTTGCCCTCAACCATATGATACACTCGTCAAAGAATTGTATCATAGTTTCGGTTCCAGACCATTTTAAAGAACGAGGCAAGTGGGTAGCAAGGGGTCACCAGTTGAGAAGTATGGGACAAGCCCGTTTTGGGCGGCCCTCGTGCTGAGGTAGGCGGAGCCAAACGAAAAAATCCGCAAAAAGTTCAAGAACTCCAGATACCAGAAACAAGGAATGAGGTCAGCGAGGAGTCAGCGCTTGAGAAGTACCGCCGAAGATCTATGCAACCACTATTTCCGATAGTTGAAAATGATAGTCAAAATCCGCGAATGCATTTCCCCCTCCGCTCGACAGCAAAATTTTTGGAAAACCAGTTAAATGTTTCGGGAAAAAATGGAAAAAGTGGTAGGAAGTTGGGAAATCTAGGAAGTGGCAGGTAGCATGAGGAGGGGGGAGGGTCGTATTTGAGGATGGAATAAGGTGGTGGGGGGGGGTGGTGGTCGTATTTTTCAGGAATTGATCACAACGCTATGGCGTGTCTTGGTGGGAACAAAACCGTTGTGCGCGGAGCCTGTGCTGAGGTGAGCGGGGTCGAAGCCGAAAATTTGTTGCAATTTGAAGCAATTTAGCGCCAGGATGGTCCTGAATGTCCCTTGAATGAGTATACGTAACGAGTTCAGTGGGAGAAAGATGTGACTCCAAACTGGTGATAGATGGCACCACAGCTGAGAGAAAGTGTCATAGTTGTGATCAGGGTTCTGAATAATATATGGACATCAGAAGAACTCTTGCTCAATGGAATAAAATCGAAATTGTTGAATAGCACCGATTCACGGAGTATAACTATCTTGAATGTGCCTATAAATGGCAAGTATCCATGTTATACTCATGCAGAGACAGGCAGGGATAGCCGAGGGGTTAAGAGTGCGGACTCATGTTCGCACTCTGAGCCACGAGTTCGATCCCTGCCGAGGCACAAACCTGCCTTGCAAAAATTGCAAAAATGGGGACGATACCAGCGTCAGGCCCAGGTTGACAGGCCGGCTGATGGAGGAACCCGTCACAACAATCATGACAAGTCGCAAAGTATCAGTGTTAAAGCTAGGACGTCACCCGGAAGTGGCGCGCAGAACCCTCGCCCGAGTTCTGTGGTCAGTATGCGAGGGCTACCGAGGGGTGAACGACCTCGGCCAAAGAAGCTAGTTCGAATTGGGACCCTGAACGTGGGGTCGCTTACCGGGAAGTCTCGTGAGGTTGCCGACCTCATGAGACGCAGGAATATCCAAGTCCTATGCCTTCAGGAAACGCGATGGAAGGGTGCGAAGGCCCGCGAGATTGGAGAAGGTGTCAGTTGGGGAGACACCAAACGGAATGGCGTGGCCATAGCGGTGGCAGAATCCCTCAAGGACTGCGTCTCCTCTGTGAACAGGATCAGTGATCGGATCATGGGAGTGAGAATGGACACGAAGGAGGGGTACTGGACAGTACTGACCGTACGCACCACAATCCGGTTGCTCCGAGGGAAAAGGATGAG